GTGACGTTGGGACCGAAAGGACGGAATGTGGTCTTGCAGAACAAGTATGGGCCTCCCAAGATTGTCAATGATGGCGAGACTGTTCTCAAAGAGGTGTTGCCTTGTCCTAGCCGTTGCTTGTCTTCCTCATGTGTGCGCTTTGAATCCTGTTTTGTTTTGGCAATTGTCGACTCGGGGGATGATGTCGTCCTAATTCGATTACACGTTTGGATTGGTTCGATCCCGTGTGCTTATTGGTGCCTTCAAATAAATCAAGGGAAATAATTTTGCTTCTTCTAATGGAGGATAACTGTGCAAGAAAAGTCACCGGCGTGGCAGTGCTTAAAGGGATTACTTAGCAGTTACTTGACAAATGTTATAATATTAATTGATCAGAGTCGTGTTTTCATGGCACGACTTTGATAAATTTAGCTTCACTCGTGGTGGGGTTCGTTGGGTGATGGATCACGCGATTTGTAGAAGCTTTAATTGAGTTTGGATGTTTATAGTATTATCCCTTATGTGATATGAGAATGTAGATAGAGTTGGAGGATCCTCTGGAGAATGTCGGGGTGAAATTGGTGAGGCAAGCAGGCGCAAGAACAAATGATCTTGCTGGTGATGGGTCCACTACCTCCGTGGTTCTTGCTCATGGCCTGATCTCCGAGGGTGTAAAGGTATGTTTCATCCGTTCTTTTGGATAGCCCATTGACTCCCTTTTGCTGGGAGAGAAACATTCCTTTCCTCAATGGCCAACTCTCTTTGGATAGCCCACGCTTTTCTCCTTTCATTTTAAATCTTTTAGTGAACTTTTTACTTGATCAAGCCTCACAAATGGGGACTTGTGCGAATTCTCATTGCGTTGTGCCAACTTCTTCGTTTTAACTTTAAACTTGCAAAGGTTGTTGCAGCTGGCGTGAATCCTGTTCAAGTTGCTCGTGGGATTGGAAAGACTGCAAAGGCCCTTGTTACTGAGCTGAAGAAGATGTCCAGGGAAGTAATAAATTTTTCTTCTTCTTCTTCTCAAAGTTACCTCTCAGAGTTAGCAAAAGTGATATGGTAAATGATGACATACAGCGAAAGCTTTGAGCAGAGAGTGATGATAAATCTTGCATTACTGGCGGAAGAGTTTGCATAATCTTGGTGCTTGCTTCTCATAAAGTACAGAAATGTTCACCATACAGGTCGAGGATGATGAACTCGTAAATGTTGCTGCAGTTAGTGCGGGGAATGATCATGCGGTGGGAAGCATGATATCCGATGCTCTTCGGCAAGTGGGTCGGAGAGGTGTTGTCACAATAGAGAAAGGGAAGTGTGCTGAAAGCAGCCTACAGATCGTCGAAGGCATGCAATTTGACCGTGGATATCTGTCTTCTTACTTCGTGAACGATCGAAAGAAGATGACGGTGGAATTTCACAATTGCAAGGTAGAAATCTATAATTTTACGGCAATGTGTTATTTGGTTATATGATAACATGGTACGGAATTTCTTTACAGTTACTTTTGGTCGACAAGAAAATCACACACCCGAAGGACATGTTTAAAATTATGGATAGTGCTGTCAAGGAGAAGTATCCAATCATCGTAGTCGCGGAAGGCATTGAGCAGGAAGCTCTGGCTCCTCTAATAAGGAACAAGCTCAGAGGCGTGCTGAAGGTAGCAGCTATCAAGGCTCCTGCATTTGGTGAACGCAAGAGCCATTGCTTAGATGATATTGCCATATTAACAGGAGGTACCATATCCCGCATCGTACTTAAATGTTCAGTCTCATCACGTGTTTGCACTTCAGAGCTCAGACTAATTCTTTCACTTTTGAATGTTCCCTTTACTCGTCTTATAGGCACTGTCATCAGAGACGATATGGGGTTGACGCTGGAAAAAGCCACGAAGGAAGTACTGGGAACAGCTTCTAAGGTTGTGATAACCAAAAATTCAACATTGATAGTTACAGACGGAAGCACAAGAAAAGCTGTCGAGGAGAGAGTTTCTCAAATCAGAGGCCTTGTCAAGGTGCTTCTCCGTCCTAACAAGAATATTGTGCTGATGACTTTTTCGTCTTCGCATATTTTTTACCTCAACACAGAGAAAATCATTGAAAAAATCCAGGGTAAAAATTTATTATATGCGAAATAAAACTCAGCATTCAGCTCAGACTAAGTATTGAAAGGTGGAATTCGGGCGAAATATTGCAAGATGATAACAGCCCAAATTCATGCATCTTCTAGTGACTTATCACCTCTGACACGGTCCTAACTCCTAATAATGGCTCCTCTGAGACGCCTAATGCGTTACCTTTTTTTTCTTTGGCAGAACACTGACGAAAATTTTCAAAAGAAGATACTGAATGAAAGAATAGCAAGGTTATCGGGAGGAATTGCTATTCTTCAAGTAATTTGAGTATATCTCCTTTTCGGCTTCTTGGTTTAATATAAATTCTGAGACCACGGACTTCCATTCAAACTGACGAATTATACTGGTTAAAATAAAGGTGGGAGCTCAAACGCAAGTGGAGTTGAAGGATAAACAGCTGAGAATTGAAGATGCCTTGAATGCAACAAAGGTATATAATCATATCCTTAGATCTCTGACCAACTTCAGTTTTCTAGTACCAATGTCACAGCCAGTAAATTAGCGTATTGCAGGCAGCAATTGAGGAAGGTGTGGTAGTTGGTGGTGGCTGTTGTCTTCTGAGACTGTCTACAAAGATTGATTGCATCAAAGAATGTCTAGATAATGAAGAGCAGAAGGTAACTTTGTTTCTTAGATATTAAATTGAATACCTGAATTTGTATGAAAGGATAACGTGATGCTTTAAGACGATTTTCGGTCAGTAAATGTCCTATAAAGATCATATTGATGCTCTACACCTACACATGTTCTTTATTACTTACTGTTCAGAAGAGTATAGTCAAGAGAACAAGTCGCTCAAAACGAAATGAACGATTATGTTCACTATCCAATTAAAATAAGTTCCTTCTTCTTTCCAGATTTTTTTTCCTTACAATTATTCAAGCTAAGCATTTTAAATTGTTTTGCCTAAAACCTTCAATGCAGATAGGAGCAGAGATTTTCAAGAAAGCTCTAAGCTACCCTGCAAGGCAGATAGCCAAAAATGCTGGTGTCAATGGAAGTGTGGTAGTGGAGAAGGTACTTTCTCAGAGATTCATCATTTTGTTACAAGTATATTAATAGCACATCATGATTTCTAGTGCTTTGTCAACTGATTTTGCTCGATGTAGAGGTCAAAAGCAAAACACAATTCTCCACACGGTCTGCATTTTGCAGGTCCTATCGAGTAACGTCATGGACTACGGATATAATGCCGCAAGGGACTGCTATGAGGATTTACTGGCGGCTGGAATAATGGATCCAACGAAGGTACTTAATCTTATAGATGTAACTTGTGTGCAAAGCATAATCTCGCCAGTTTTAAGCAAGGCAGATCAGCAAGCAATATGTAGGAGGTTATTTTGTAGTAGCTTGAGGTGTTAAATGTTGAATACAATTGGCTGACTACCAGAAAAGTTAATTCTTCAATCTGCCGAGTATCAAGACACTCTTGAGATTGATTTAATACTATTGATATTGAACTCAGAAGAAGTGTTTGTAGACAATCCTGAAGCAAAGGGTTGGAAAAAGTTTTCCTTCTTTAAATGAACATATTCCCCCGCAGCTAGATATAGCTCATGCACGTGCCCTCCGGCATTGTAATCTATCTCCTAATATACACATGTAATAAGCATCTAGTTTATTTTGCGTAGGATTGAAAAGGCTTATGATTCAAAGTGTAAATGATACACAGGTGGTAAGATGTTCTTTGGAGCATGCAGCATCTGTGGCAAAAACATTTCTAACCTCCGATGCAGTAGTGGTCGACATTAAGGAAGTAGAGCAGCCCGTACAGATGCCGATGAGAAAGCCTCTTAGAAAGCCAGGTAATGTTACTTTTTCTCTAGCTTCACCTAATTGTTTGCACAAATATCATCACTTTCTGCTATGATTCACTGGATACTAGTCTATCTTTCTGCAGGTATTCCCCGAGCAGGCATGCCACTTATTGTGTAGGGATAAAAGCTGTTCCAGACTCCGGGTTGCTCGTAAATGCTCAAAGTACCGCACCTTCACAAGGAGATGCCCTTTTTCCTTGTGGTACTTCAACGCTAGTAACATACTAGTCATACAACTGCTCTTGGTTTTGCTCGAGTTAGAAGCTAATACGGGAAACTTGTCAACAAAGCTTTGTATCTACAGTGGAGCAGATCTCAAAGGAGAGATGGTCAGTATGCGGGTTCTTACCTCGGAAGAGAGTGATCGAATGCCTATATATTACCAGATGCGGAGAGACTGCAAAGTGATAGAAGAAAGACAACTCATTGTGACCTGATGCAGATTCATAGGAAATGTCGACTTCAAACTCTACTTTTTCAGGGTCGGAATACATCTTTCCTCGGACCATCTTGACTCTTTTCAATGGAAGCTCGCACTCATGTCACAATTTACATGAATAAACACTTGGGTACAAGCACGTTCTATGCGTTGCTAAAGTTCAGATTCATTCACAATCTCCATTCTTTTACCTCACTGCATATCGGTCTCCAAACCCTTCATCTGTGGGCATTGGAGCAATGCAGTGATTGTTATTATGGGCATAGTATTAATCTGTTGGAGGGTTCATATGACCCTAATGCGTCCGGAGAAATCATTGTCGCCGGTTTCGGCATAAACTCCGTCCTTGCGCGTGACGGATTCGTTGGTCGAGTCCTTGCACGGACTGGCCAGTCGAGTCCTTGCGCGGTCCGAGGCTCGACATCAAAGCCCGATCGACGGTTCGTGTTGATGCGCTTTCTGGTAAGGAATTTAAAAAACAAATGGATCTTTCTCTTTGGTTTTGCTGCGTTCGTGCATCGCCATCCGAATCCACCTAGTCCGAAGTGGGTGCGTGCGTCATTCTCCTGTGGAAGGGGCGTGATTTCCTTGTAGTTTATGCCGAAGTCCAGAAGGTTATTCCTCAGGATAGCTTGATTCAGCATCTGTGGCAAAAACATTTCTAACCTCCGATGCAGTAGTGGTCGACATTAAGGAAGTAGAGCAGCCCGTACAGATGCCGATGAGAAAGCCTCTTAGAAAGCCAGGTAATGTTACTTTTTCTCTAGCTTCACCTAATTGTTTGCACAAATATCATCACTTTCTGCTATGATTCACTGGATACTAGTCTATCTTTCTGCAGGTATTCCCCGAGCAGGCATGCCACTTATTGTGTAGGGATAAAAGCTGTTCCAGACTCCGGGTTGCTCTTAAATGCTCAAAGTACCGCGCCTTCACAAGGAGATGCCCTTTTTCCTTGTAGTACTCCAACGCTAGTAACATACTAGTCATACAACTGCTCTTGGTTTTGCTCGAGTTAGAAGCTAATACGGGAAACTTGTCAACAAAGCTTTGTATCTACAGTGGAGCAGATCTCAAAGGAGAGATGGTCAGTATGCGGGTTCTTACCTCGGAAGAGAGTGATCGAATGCCTATATATTACCAGATGCGGAGAGACTGCAAAGTGATAGAAGAAAGACAACTCATTGTGACCTGATGCAGATTCATAGGAAATGTCGACTTCAAACTCTACTTTTTCAGGGTCGGAATACATCTTTCCTCGGACCATCTTGACTCTTTTCAATGGAAGCTCGCACTCATGTCACAATTTACATGAATAAACACTTGGTTACAAGCACGTTCTATGCGTTGCTAAAGTTCAGATTCATTCACAATCTCCATTCTTTTACCTCACTGCATATCGGTCTCCAAACCCTTCGTCTGTGGGCATTGGAGCAATGCAGTGATTGTTATTATGGGCATAGTAATCTGTTGGAGGGTTCATATGACCCTAATGCGTCACGACTATTTGTTTTGGTGGGTCCTATGTAGGACCTTGTATGGTCTAACGGTTGTAGTGTAGTTGGCCCACATGAACCCAATGCATTCAATAATTGCTCTTATTAGTTGATACGATGGTATGAATTGATGTACAGCTGCAACTAATTAGAAGTGAATAAATACTCTTGGAAGCAAGGTACTACGCATTCCTCACTGATTGGAACATGGTGAGAGTTCTTTTCCCTGGAGCCAAACAGGTACTTTATGTATCTTACAAGAATCACTACTCAAAAACTCAGATAGTGTCTTATGTTGATCGTTTTACCTTCTCCCTCTTTTTATATTTTTTCCCAAATGAGCAACTTAATGCACAATAACTACTGGGGACAAGCTCGACCATTGGTGACGTACCGACCTAGCCTTTCATTTATTGGGCTTATCATATTCACAAATGTCGTCCTCAAAAGCCTCAGCTTTCGGTTGGACTAATCTGAATAGATGGTAATGTTCAGTTCACAAAAAATAACCAACTGCCTAAGAAAGAAATACTTTACCACCTCGGTTATGTTTTGGATTTGCAATTTGCTGAATGTAACAACATGGGAAGTAAGCTCGATCACTAACAGATTTTTCTCCTTCCATCCAAATTACTGAAACTTTGAATGATGGTTAGCAAAAGGACAAATGGGGCACCGGAAAAACATCGCTCGAGTGCGTTCTAAACAGTAAATTCTTACCTAGACCCCTTCACCGTTAAATGACGGGGATTTCACGCGGGTTTCGCTTAATCAAGCAATTGAGATGGACTCGATCCAGGATTCCCGATGGACCGGATCCACGAGTAATCCTTACACATATCTAGATCTAAACTATATGTTTATGCAATTTAAATATTTTTGTTTAGGGGTTAAAAATTTAATCCCTAATTTTCTATGCAAATTACACTAAATGATACGCCAAAATTTAGGTGTCAACAGTGTCGTTGGGTTTTTACAGTGAAGTTTCAACCGGATGGTTCTGTTGAGCGTCTGAAGGTGCGTCTAGTGGCCAAAGGTTACACTTAAACCTATGGAGTGGATTATGATGACACGTTTTCTCCTGTCGCAAAGATGCCTTCTGCTCGTGTTTTCATTTCTCTTGCTGCTCGATATGGTTGGACTCTCCATCAACTTGATGTCAAGAATGCATTTCTTCATGGCGACTTGGCGAGAGGAGGTATATATGGAGCAACCTCCGGGGTTTGTTGCTCGGGGAGTCTACTAGTGTTTGTCGCTTGCAAGGCATTATATGGGTTGAAACAATCTCCTCGTTCTGGTTTGGTCGTTTTAGTGATGTAGTTATTCGGTTTGGCTTGCAACGTTGTACCGTGGATCATTATGTATTTAGTTCCACTTCTTCTGCAGGATGTGTTCTCCTAATTGTGTATGTGGATGATATTATTGTCACTGGTAGTGACTCTGAGGTTGGTTTTCTTGGGGCTAAGCCTGTCGATACTCCGATGGATCCTAATGTGAAACTTGATGCAGAGCATGGAGACTTACTTCATGATCCTAGTAAGTATAAGAGGTTAGTGGGTAAGCTCAACTATTTAACTGTCACATGACCAGATATTTGCTTTGCTGTTAGCGTGGTTAGTCAATTTATGAGTGCTCCTCGCACTACACATTGGGAGGCAGTGGTACGTGTTGTTAAGTACTTGAAGGGAGCACCAGGTAAAGGAATTTTGTCCAAGAATCATGAACATCTTAATGTCACTGGCTACTCTGATGCTGATTGGGCAGGATGCCTTATTGACAGGAGATCGACTTTTGGCTACTGTGTGTTCTTGGGAGGCAATCTTGTGAGTTGGAAAAGTAAGAAGCAACAGGTGGTGTCTCGATCAAGTGCAGAGGCAGAATATCGAGCCATGGCTCATGTGACTAGTGAGTTACTTTGGTTAAGGATGTTATTATCCGAACTTAGCATGCCATCTTTAGCTTCCTCGAGTTTTGTGTTGTGATAATCGATCACCATGCATATCGCTTCAAATCCAGATTTTCATGAGCGCACGAAGCGTATTGAAGTAGATTGTCATTTGTGCGAGAAAAGATTCAGAACAAGGACATAACACTTCAATACACACGAACCGAAGACCAACTTGCTGATCTTTTCACTAAGTCATTGCAGGGTAATAGAGTGACTACTTTATGTAACAAGTTGGGGCTCTTTAATATTTATGCCCCAACTTGAAGGGGAGTATTGAAGGATATTTTAGTCTTTTTCATTGTCAGTGAACCCTAATGCTCGCTATATATACTGATGTAATTCGTAATTATGACATAATAAGAAATTATTATCTTTCGTTTTCAACGAGTATTTGTTTTGGTGGGTCCTATGTAGGACCTTGTATGGTCTAACGGTTGTAGTGTAGTTGGCCCACATGAACCCGATGCATTCAATAATTGCTCTTATTAGTTGATACGATGGTATGAATTGATGTACAGCTGCAACTAATTAGAAGTGAATAAATACTCTTGGAAGCAAGGTACTACGCGTTCCTCACTGATTGGAACATGGTGAGAGTTCTTTTCCCTGGAGCCAAACAGGTACTTTATGTATCTTACAAGAATTACTACTCAAAAACTCAGATAGTGTCTTATGTTGATCGTTTTACCTTCTCCCTCTTTTTATATTTTTTCCCAAATGAGCAACTTAATGCACAATAACTACTGGGGACAAGCTCGACCATTGGTGACGTACCGACCTAGCCTTTCATTTATTGGGCTTATCATATTCACAAATGTCGTCCTCAAAAGCCTCAGCTTTCGGTTGGACTAATCTGAATAGATGGTAATGTTCAGTTCACAAAAAATAACCAACTGCCTAAGAAAGAAATACTTTACCACCTCGGTTATGTTTTGGATTTGCAATTTGCTGAATGTAACAACATGGGAAGTAAGCTCGATCACTAACAGATTTTTCTCCTTCCATCCAAATTACTGAAACTTTGAATGATGGTTAGCAAAAGGACAAATGGGGCACCGGAAAAACATCGCTCGAGTGCGTTCTAAACAGTAAATTCTTACCTAGACCCCTTCACCGTTAAATGACGGGGATTTCACGCGGGTTTCGCTTAATCAAGCAATTGAGATGGACTCGATCCAGGATTCCCGATGGACCGGATCCACGAGTAATCCTTACACATATTATGTGTTGACGATCCCAACATAAGTGTACTCTTACCTCTGCGAGCCTTCTTTCGTCTGCTTTAAAGTTTGCGCTGTCCCTATCTTCTGCTCTTCTTCTGGATACTCTTTTCTTTCTTGAGCTTATATATATATATATAAGGACACAACAGTAACGACAAACGACACCGCGCTAGAAAGAGCTCGATAACCGTGCCACCGAGATGAAGTATATTCAAGAAAGAAACAAGCTTCCGTTTTACTTAGAGCGCATTCATTAGTCAATGCCCATATTCGTGTAGTTGAGAGAGATTATATACAAAAAACTTAAGCAGACCAGAAAAGAGAAATGCTGGGCTTGAAGTTGATAATGGGGTTGAGCGCGAGAGGCGTTCTGGATGTGATCGTCGCTGGGGTTTCTCTGGTGATCGGGTTAGGGTTCTGGGTTTTCGTCACCTCCATCCTCTGCTCCGTCGCTTTCTTTCGATGCGCCAAGCAAGCTTCTTGATCAAAGGTACGTGATGATCTAACTCTCTTTCTTTCTTTCTTTCTTTCTTTATTTTTTAGTTTGGCTTACGTTTCAATGCAACTTACGTTTCTTCCTTTCCTGGGTATCTGTCTTTGATTGGGATGTGAACTTGGAAATAATTTTCTGGTCATGTATCTTACTAATTTGAGTTATTATTATCGTTTCTCTTTTTCTTGACACTCCATGTGCGTACTCATTTTACATTCATTAGAAGTAAAAGCAGCTCTAAGTTTATTCAACGTAAAATCAGATTCATGTAGACCTGATGATAAGTCCGACGATGGAGACTCGATTCACTAGAGTGGCGTTTCCAGACCGGAGCAAGGGGGCACGCGATCGGGACCCGGACCACGCGAATCTTCCTGTGGATCCTTGCACAGGTGATGTTTGAATGGCAATATGCTTGGAGAAGAGCCGTCATAAGTCGCGGGATTAGCGTCCCGGGTATGTCATCGACTTGTGATCGGCAGAGCAGGCTGCCAGCTACTTCGATCCAAGCCCAGAGGGATTACTTCGGAGCTCATATGTATGAGATGATCGATATGCTGGGTGGTCTAAGATCGCCGAGAGGTCCAAAAAATTGAGATCATGCTATGATCTGTGCATTTTCTGCAGAAGGAATATCAGATTGTGCATTGAGGTTTATTTTAAAGAGAGAGCCCTGGGCACATGATCTTTCCATTGATTGCCGAAGCTAGCTAGATTCATGTAAAGTGTACATGTTGCAAAAGCCTAAAGGTGGATAAGTTTATTCTAGCTATCATCACTCGGCGCAGTGCAGTTTGTCGATTCCGATTGAACGCTCAATTTCAGCCGGAGAATACTACATTGAATGTCATGGCCTCACAGGCGAACCACCGCATTTTCAGTGCCTGAGTAGTCTAGTTTGTTCTCTCTCACCAGATGACTTCTTGAACGCATATTGCTCAGCGAAATTTAGATTTCGCAGATCACGGGATCCAAATTGAGCGATTTGTATACGAATAACAATGGCGCGCCAAGGTTCGCCCTCTGCTCGAAGGGGCGAGAGACGGGACCTTGTCGCCCTTCTCTGTCCCGTCCTCTTCACACTCCATATGTTCTCTCCGTGATAGTTGCAGGAACTGGAAAGGAGAGGGACAGAGGAAGCACATTCAACTGAAACAATAGCTTCGATGTACTTAAAAAAGTGTCCACCTTTAGTAACTAACCAACCGCTTATATAAAGATGCTTATACAAAGTCATTCCGGAAAGAAATAATTATAATGTAACAACATCAGGGACAAGCTTGTTAACCTGCATTAAGAATCGATGATAGAATATCAAAGAAACAATAAGCGCATTACAATTGACCGATGCAACGAACTGTTGTCGGATATTAAATATGGTTCGCTTATTTAGTGTTCGTCATATCGGCTTATTTTTCGTGTGAAAAATCTGTACATAATTATATAATTTTCTTATATTCTATATAGCGAAAAGTAAACATGTAAATCACGATTGATGATTTTCAAAAGCCAAAATCTTTTACAAAAATGACTCAAATCTACGCTTTTCCACGAAACTAGAATATCGAACGCATCGATTTAGGACCGAAAAAAGCAACCTTTTTCTTCCCGAAAGGAGGGAGAGAAAAGAGAGAGAGAGAGAGAGAGAGAGAGAGAGCAGCAGCAGCAGCCATCGTGGCAGTATTCTCGTTGCGTTGGCACGGCATTGACCAATCAAACATGTCCTGCTGTTCTTCTTCTTCTTCTTCGTCCTCGTCTTCTGTTCTTGCCCTCTCGGACAGACAAGTAATTATATATAAAATTCCAGGTCGATGTTGATCTCGGACTCATCCGCTCGTTCTTGTTCTTGAGCCCATCGAGAGGATCGGGATCCCCTGTCCCCCAAGAACCGCATACCCCATTCGCGGCCTTGTCGATAAACCCCCGCCCACGGCGCAGCATCGCTCCGCCATGGTTGTCTTCTCGGTTCGCTTCTTGAATTAGGGAAAAAGCTCGGGATCGGATTGAAAATAAGAGTTTCAAGAAAGTCATGGGGTCGATCCGAGAAGCTCTGTCCGTGGAATGGGAGCGGGAATCTTATCCGGCGCACGCGGATTTCGCCCTCCTCCCTCTCTTCGCCCTCTTCTTCCCTTCCGTCCGGTTCTTCCTCGACCGATTCGTGTTCGAGGTACGGCATGCCGCTGCACTGTGCCGTGATTTGGTTTCTTGGTCGGTGCTCCTTGCTCTTTTGTGGACGGAATCTTTCGCTTCCTTTTTTTTTTCTGAGCTGATTTAGTAGTCGGATGCCGTTTGCTGTTTCGGAAGTAACTGTGTCCGAGTCTGTTGATTTTCTATTCAGCTGGAAAGGTGGGGAGAGAGATGTCGTCTTATGGTGTTTGCAATAGTCTTGTGGTGTTAGACCAATGGGACAAGAGAAAGAAGTTGCGTGTCGATTACTATGAGCTGTGCAGTTGCATGGATGCTAATGCTGTAGTGTTGCAGAAGCTGGATTGCAAAGTTTGGGACTGTGAATTGGATGCTCGTTTCCGATTTACAATTCCTGGGGAAAATGCTTTCCTTAACGCTAGCGAAATTTCCGAGCATTTACGGCACTGAAAGTAGGGAGTTTGTCTTGAAAAAATCTGACGACTCCTGCGAAAAATGGAGAATAGAATGTGATCATGAGCTATATGGTCTCGTGAATTGGGAAATGATCAATTGAAGGTCTTTATAAATCTCGGATCCTGGGTGGCATTCATTTAACTCAAACTTATGCATGTCTCCAGCCAGTCTTCAATGTTTTAGAGAAACTTCAAAATTGCTCTGGTGTAGTGTAATTTCTTATGTAAGCCCCCAGATATATACTTTGTTAGTTCTGGATTATGTTTTAGCAGCTGGTTGTCCGAGTATGTTTGCCCTCTATCAACTTGCAAGAACTTTCTTCTTTAATCTCTTCTGTCGCCCCTTATACCCGTGAGATGAATATACTCCAAGGAAGTACTACCATTAATTATGGGCAGCTTCACGTCATCTTCTCTTTTTTTTTTCATAATACAAGAAACTTAGAATTGTGTGTCATCTGTAAGATATATATTATCTACATAACGGCTGCATCCTTTCTGTCGCAACCATTTGCTCTTGATATACATTTCTTTGTGGTTTCTCCTTGAATTCTTCATAATGTCTGCGTCCAACTTTGCAGAAAGCAGGCAGAAGGTTAATCTTTGGAAAGAGTTATCAGAGAATGGATCTTGAGACAGATGAAGGAAAGAAGAGGATAAGGAAATTCAAAGAATCAGCATGGAAATGTATTTACTATCTTTCAGCTGAACTGTTGGCTCTCTCTGTCACTTATGATGAGCCTTGGTTCTCTAATACGATGAATTTTTGGGTAGGACCAGGAAACCAGGCTTGGCCTGACCAGAAAATTAAGTGAGATTCTGAACATCATGTCTGGCTGTTTCATTTCATGAAGGCAAATACCTGACTGGTTTTTGCACCTCAGGTTCAAACTGAAGGGATTGTATATGTATGCAGCTGGATTTTATGCCTATTCCATATTCGCTTTGATCTTTTGGGAAACAAGGCGATCTGACTTTGGGGTGTCAATGAGTCATCACGTAGCAACTCTCATTCTCATTGTGCTGTCGTACATATTAAGGTAACTTTCTACTTATTTTGTGGCTTCCTCTTCTTCTCTTAATAGTAAGTCTATTATATGTTACCACTATAGAGTGCAAAGTCCTATAGTACCTTTAATAACTATTATGAGCAAGTTTTATGTCCAAATGAGGTAACAAAAATAAATGGACCAAGATGGCCTCTGCAGTAGACTTGAACAAACAAGCAAACAGAAGATAATAATTGAAACTTAATAAACCGAGAGAGATCTTTCAACAAAATTCAGGATGGAAATTTAGGCAAAAACAAACTATATATGTTTCCAATTAGTTTTTTTCTTTTTTGGTCGAAATATTGCCAATTAGTTTAAAGTTACCTTTTTCGCTGTTCAAGATGTCTAATTAATAGTTCCATATCAATATTTGGCATAACTGAACTTGGAAAACCAATCGTAGGTTAATATTTTCTTTTAAGCAACTTCAGTATTTTTCCTGGAAATCTTTTTCCTTTTTGTGATGCATTTTGCCTTAGTTGCATATATGTGGATTGAATGAATTGAGTTCTACAAAATCTGGCTGTTCACCTTCATTCACTATTTTTAATAAGCAAAATCCATAATTTGTTCTGAAAGTTATGGGGAAAGCTAATTACATTGTAGCCGCTTTACTATCCTTCATAGTGAACCCTAGGCATCATAAACAGTAAACTCCCAATTCTTAGCAGTTTTCAGATGGTCAAATCCTTAAGAGTCAAGTAGGGAATGCTAGAAACTTGAAGTCTGCATTTAGATCATAGAATGAGACAAGCAACAGTGCCTTTTCAGCTGTTCCATCTGTTTATGTCTGTTCTTAATTTGGATGCATAAGAGAATTGTACGATCACAACAGTGCATTATATTCAGCTGCTCAGATTTGTTTGTGTGTGCTTTCCCTTCGTTGTTTATCTAGAGGCATAAGACAATTTTAGAGGCCTAGTATGATCAGTGGAGAATTTGTTCTGAAGATTAGGTGTAAATGGTCTACTGAAACACTTATTGTTTTGTACTCCTTTAATCTTTACTGGCAGGTTTGCTCGAGTTGGTTCAGTTGTTTTGGCTCTTCATGACGCCAGCGATGTCTTTTTGGAGGTAGGGAAGATGTCCAAATACGGTGGTGCTGAGAAGGTTGCAAGCTTCTCTTTTGTACTCTTTGTCTTGTCTTGGATAATATTACGCCTCATTTACTACCCTTTCTGGATCCTTTGGAGTACAAGGTGAGTCTCAGTTCCTACATGGTTTGTAAAATGGATTTGGCAGATTCTTCTTGAAATTTTGGTTTTAAAAACCTGTTTTCAGAATCAAAAGAAAACCAATACCGGGTTATCTCTTGGTGCAAAGTGTGTTTGGCAAATTGTTTGCTAGAACAGATTTGGGACATGACTAAAGGTCCGTGTCTGGGATTCCTAATCTTTAGTACATAATAAAATGTGAGCTGCACCAAATGATTGCTCTTGAAACCTACATGTTCATCTGCAAATTTTCTTCACATTGAGAAAGAGAGAGAGAGAGAGAGAGAGTTTGTGTTTTTCTCAGACATAAGCCGAGCAGATACCCTTTCTGGTTCATAAGAAAAAAACTTTTCAGATAAAAAATGTCTTTCTAGTTGTCTAAAACTGGTGTTTACTGATGCTCTCAAACGAGCCTCCAAAAGATGCCAACTTTTATTGCTCCCAATGGCTACTTCCATTTTAGTAAACTTTTGGCTCAGTCCCAGGTTTCATAAATTCTGCCAATGAGTTATTGAAATTGGATAAGTAAAAGAGTCCGGAGCTTCTTACAGAAAAATCATCCTCCACGACACATCTTGCTAGTTTGTGAGCTATGAGTCTGTGATTTTCGCTCTCATAGGTAATAGTTATTTTCTCATTTTCTTATTATAGTAGTTCATGGAGTCCCTTTTTCTTTTTCTTTTTTTTCAAAAAACTTGTGGACAAGTAGTCGCTGTCCGTTCTTTAACCCTGAATATCCTTATTTTTCATGCAGCTATGAGGTTATGCTTACATTGGACAAGGAAAAACACCGAGTAGATGGACCGCTCTACTACTATATTTTCAACTCTCTGCTGTACTGCTTGCTTGTCCTTCATATATATTGGTGGGTCTTGATTTATAGAATGCTTGTTAAGCAAATTCAAGCAAGAGGGAAAGTCAGTGATGATGTTAGATCTGGTGAGTATATCATTAGTGTCCCAGATATCAGTCTTTGATTCTCGCAATCATTGGTTTTTGTGGAGACAAGAATTCTATTAAAGTCTTCCCTGCTATGGATTCTTGATGGTAGTCAATCCACTTCTTCCTCGCTCAGTTCGTCCTATTAGCTTGCATGGCACTTTTGTAAAATTGGCCTGATCAACATTTTACTCAGTGGATGGACCTTCTTTTTCCTTTGAAACATGAAAATAAAACCGCAATGGAAACGAAAAGGAGGCAATTAGATAATGTGCTTCGTCCCACTTTGTCATTTGTGTTTATGATGTACACTGGACTTTTCTAATTATTCACCTTGTGTATGAATTATTTTCATCATTTGCAGATTCTGAAGGTGAAGATGATCATGAAGATTGAGCAGCAAGAGAAAAGATATGGAGATATTGCCACAATGAGGTAAATAAAGCTTCGGAAAATTTACCTGGACATTTAGGCTGCTTAAAAGTTTTTGTTTCTTATTGTGCATTAAGCCCCAGAACAGGAAGCACCTTTAAAGTGAAGGCTGCATGAATAATTTGTTCTCGACAAGACACACGTGAATCGAAAACTTCAATATTATTTACTTGTTCTACTGTAGTCAAACATCACAAAAAATTTGCCCAAGCATGTTGCCTTCTGCATGACTCCTACATTAAAACATGAGTGAATTGTTTAAACCCAGCGTGTTACTTTCTGGCATTGAGCCTGATAGATTGCTTTTTATCGTGCAGGCTGTGATGTACTAAACTTGCTGAGAGGTTGCTGTACTACTATTCTTTTGAAGCTAATACCAGCTTGTAGGGATTTGTCTGTCATTTAGTTCAAGTGTTTAAGCAATTAGAAGATGTGATGATTAGGTGGACATGGTGGTTAATATGAGATTTTGTCATTATGATTCGGCACCCTGATTAGATCACCATCTCATGTGGAATTGTTCGAGGAACTCGTTGGGAAGCATTTTCTCAGAATGGGCAGGTCTTGAATGGCTTGGGGCACTGAAAGTGTGGCAACTCAGATATGATTCTTACTTCCCCGAGAAGCATGTTAGATATGAATATTGAGGTGTTACAAGATTCTGGTTTAGAGAAGAGGTAGTTCTTCTGGAAGATAAGATAATACGTTTTTGGTTGCTTGTGTACAATAAGAGCGCCAATTCGTTTCGTGTAAGTTTTGCTGTTTACCATTGTTGGATTTTCTTCTCTGAAGTGCAATACAGACGGCACTGGATATCATAGTAGATTTCATCTCGCGTTTATCATGATTTATACCCCTAACTTGAGGGGACGAGATCGGTATTTATTTGATTAATGATGTTCATATAACAAAACATTTGTGCTGAATTTCCAATGCACAACATTACAACTGGCCTCAGATCTGTAGCCAAATTCTGTAGTTATGGTCTAGTGGGTCCTTCGATCGTTGATCCACATTAGCTAAATAAGTCGTTCTTTGTTTTATCAGGTACCTCATGACTTCGTCCAAGTTCGAGGAGAGCCATTCCAAACTTGAACATTCTTTTTCATCCTGTACACTTCAAAGATTAGTTATGGGCTGCTTAAATTAGCCATCTTGATCCACAATCGTTGCTAATGAATAGAGGTGATTATTGGGCAGGCTTAGGCCAGCCCAGGTCGGGCTTGAAAGTCGGGATTAATGTATCACTGAAGCAATGCCCATTACATAAAATTTACACTGTAATTTCCAGTCTCGGCCAAAGATGAGCGGGCTGGTTCGTGTAAGTGCATTGGCCAAACCCGTCCATTTACTTCTCGAGCCTGGGTGGGCTTGGGTGGCCACCCGCCCTTGATCAACTCTGCTAATAAATTAGTTGCTTAAGAAACTTCACACGTTTTGTGAACCAAAACGTGAGAAACTCTGTTCAAAACAAGAAACTAAAACAATTACACTAATAGCAGCTGTCATGCGTTTGGTTTGGTGACTTGCCCAAATCTAAAACATTAAACTTTTGAGCCACATGTGCACGTCTCTCTCTCTCTCTCTCTCTCAAAAGAATTCTTGGTAATTTTAGTCTCGGTATTACCCACCAAACAGAACAGTGTTAGTTGCATCCCCTCTTGACTTTGAGAAAACTTCATGCAAAATCCTCAAGCAGCCATGCAAAAACTGAAGTTGACCTTGTCTACGTTTGTTCATTTATATATTTGCACAGTTTCAGGAAATGCATGTCAGCTAAAGAACCGGGAATGGCAGCTTCGATTCAACCAAGAGTCCTTGCAATGCAGTTCTTGGGGGCGATCGCCTTCATTTCTGGTTTTATACGCTCTGGTGCAAGTGACCCTCCACTGACGCTTGATTACTATGCATCTTCGTGCCCGACCGTGTTCGACGTCGCCCACAAAGAAATGGAATGCGCGGTGCTCTCAGATCCGCGCAACGCTGCATTAGTAGTCCGACTACACTTTCATGACTGCTTTGTTCAGGTCCATTGCGTACATCATAATTTTATGCAATTTCCAAGTCTCTCATAGTTAAATTGAACACGTACTTGAGAATGAGACTGGCAGTAGTGACATCAATCATGAAGCATAGATCAAAGTGCAAAGGGAGAATTCTTCTTTTATCTTTTGGTTGCGATTTTTAATAGGGATGCGACGGTTCAGTTCTATTAGACGATACGGTCACGTTACAAGGAGAAAAGACAGCGTCCCCAAATATAAACTCTCTAGAAGGTTTTGACATCATCGATAGGATCAAGAACAAAGTTGAATCCGACTGCCCCGGAATTGTCTCGTGCGCTGATATATTGACAATTGCTGCTAGAGATGCTGTCATTCTGGTATAGATTGTCCTGCCTCTCTGAATTCCTCATTTACTTGTCAAATGATGTTCTGAATTATAACTTATGTTGTTGTACTTCTAAACCAAGTAGGCATACCAGAAAATCAATGTGATTAATATTGATTCTCTTTCGTACTTTATAGGTGGGCGGACCGTATTGGGATGTTCCGGTGGGGAGGAAGGACTCGAGAAGTGCAAGCTACGAGCTCGCAAACACCAACATACCAACTGCGAATGAAGGTCTCGCTTCCATCATTTCCAAGTTCCTTTACCTCGGCCTCTCTGTCACCGACACCGTCGCGCTTTCTGGTAATTACTAAGTTCCTATTCCTCTTAAGTGATTGATCAAATTACTCACCCAAGGTGAGCCTATTGCCGCAGAGAAAAAAGCGCAATGATTTAGGCGTGTATATAGTAAATTACATTAGATTTTCCATAATTATATGCATATGCAAATCACTAGGGGCTCACACGATCGGCATGGCACGCTGTGAGAACTACCGCGCGAGAATATACGGGGACTACGAATCGACATCAGGTGGTAGTCCATCATCCGAAGCGCGCCTCAGCAAATTGAAATCCACATGCCCAGCTGCAGGAGGGGGAGAGGACAACATCGCACCGATGGACTACGAAACACCCGATGTATTTGACAGCTCCTACTACCATTTGCTCCTGAACGGAGAGGGATTAATAAACTCTGACCAGGAACTGTATTCAAGTGTATTGGCCATTCAGACCAAGAAGCTTGTGGAACAGTATGCGCATGACACGGCGGCTTTCTTTCAGCAGTTCTCCGAATCCATGGTCAAGATGGGGAACATCACGAATTCGGATAGCTTTGTCAATGGAGAAGTGAGGAAGAATTGCAGATTTATCAATACATGATCATTGAGTTATGTGAAATAAAAACATGTTTGATTTTCTTAATCTTTGTTGGTTATTTATCCAGAGTCGGACATATGCAAACTTGAGCTAACTATGGTTAGCAAATTCATTTGGAAGTTAAAAACAATTCTTGTGAGAGAGACGTGGATTTCTCTTCACACAGCCATTTGTAATGGTGAACCCAAATATCATGTGTAATTATCATGAAGTTAAGATTGACAGGTCGATCTGGTTTTATACTTAGAAAAGCTTTAAATGTCGCCTGGCGTTGAGCTGCAAAAAGGAGAACTTGTACAGCTATATTGAATGATACAGAGCCAGAAAGTCGAACGCTTGTTTGGCCAACCAGGAACGGCTAATCCGTATAAGGTTCTTTTATCTAGAATTGCTAACTATATCTCAGAAAATAGAGAATTTCTGTGGATGAGCATATTTCAGACATCTTGGACAATGACTTCAAGTCGTATCTTTACAGAGGTCTCTAACTATTTGCATTGTCGCTGAAAAAACTTCAGGAAATACCTATCAGAACGTGCATTAAATAGAGTACCTAAAAAATATCAAAAGAGAAAAAACCAATAAGAAGAAGAGGTGTACCTACCCACTTGGTAGCTGAAATTCTACGCCATATGAAGGTGAAGATGATCATGAAGATTGAGATATTGCCACAAGGAGCTAAGAAAAGATTTGGAACATTTACCTGGATACTTGGACAATTAGGCTGCTTAAAAATTACTGCTTCTTAATTTGCATCAAGCCCCCAGAACTGGAAGCACCTTTTGAATTGAAGGCTCCATGAATAATTTGTTCTCAACACGACCCGCGTGAATAGAAAACTTCCATATAATCTACTTGTTCTGCTGTAGTCAAACACGTCTGCACTACTCCTACATTAAACACTAGTGAATATTGTAATATCTACAAAGTCCAGATGCCCCTTGTTACCGTGCATGCTGTGATGTACTAAAAAGTTCATTGATGAGAGGCTGCTGTACTACTATTCTTTTGAAGCTAATACCAGTTTACATATGTCTGTCATTCAGTTCAAGTGTTGAAGCAATTAGAAGAGGTGATGATCATATGGGCCTGGTTGTTACTATGAGATTTTGGCATTATGATTCGGCAAAAACCATTCGAGGAACTCGCTGGGAAGCACATTCGAGGGATGGACAGGTCTCAATGGCTAAGGGTTCTTGAGAATGTCGCAACTCAGAGATGATTCTTATTTTCCCGAGAAGCATGTAACTTGTGATTATTGAGGTGTTAAGCAGATTTTTGTCTAGAGAAGAGGTAGTTCTTCTGGAAGATTCAAAGTTCAACGTTTTTGGTTGCCTGTGTACAATAAGAAACCCATCTGTTTCGTCCAATTTTTGTGGTTACTAACCGCATTGGATGTCATTGTAGATCTCATTTTACACTTATGATGATTTATACCCCTAACTTGGTGGAACAAGATCTGTATTCACTCGATCAACGATGTAAGCACAAAATTTGTGCTGAACCATATTCTGTAGGCATGGTCTGGTAGGTCCTTTGATCGTTGATCTACATTGGCTAAATAAGCTCGTATTGGCTCTATCAGGTACATCATGACTTCGTCAAAGTTCGAGGAGAGCCATTCCAAACTTTGCACATTCTTTTTTCTTCTGGTACACTTCAAAAATCAATAACGTACCCTAGCTGTGGCATGGCAAATGAAGCAACTACGAAGGGAAGAAACTTGCAGGAAAGTCTTACGCTAATGAATGGCTTCTTGGGTATATTGCTGTGAAGGCATACGTAATAAGATTTCTAGTCCGTTTAAAGTAAGACTGGCCGGCCGTTCATTGAATTCCACACTCCAGAGCTGCTTAAACTAATTGGTTATCTCATCGGGCGGACTCGGGTCTGGTCAGGTCGAGCCTGAAGGTCGGGCTTAATATGTCGCTCGAGCCTACCCATCACATAAAATTCACGTAGCAACTTTCGGGCCCGATAAATATGGACAGATTGGGCTTTTTCATGTAAGAGCATTCCCCAAGCCCATCCATTTACCTCTCGGGTCTAGGCGGGCTTAGGCGGCTACCCGCCCGCCGTTGATCACATATTTTTGTGAACCAAAAACCCGAGAGAACTCTGTTCAAAACAAGAAGACTAGAACAATCACCCTAATAGCAGCTAATCGCGATTGGTTTGGTGACTTCCCAAATCTAAAAATATTATTCTCTTGAGCTCACGTGTCTCTCTCTCTCTCTCTCTCTCTCTCTCTCTCTCTCTCTCTCTCTCTCTCTCTCTCTCTCTCTCTCTCTCTCTCTCTCTCAGAAGTCAAGAACAATTAAAAGTAATTTTAGTCTCGGCATTACCCACCAAACAGAGCAACATTAGTTGCATCCCCTCTTGACTTTAAGAAAACTTTATTCAAAATCCTCAAGCACCCATGCAAGAACTGAAGTTGTACTTCTCTAGGCTTGTACTTCTCTCTCCGTTTGTTCCTTTATATATTTGCACAGCTTCAAGGAAATGCATGTCAGGCAAAGAACCGGCAATGGCAGCTTCATTTCGTCCACGAATCCTCGCAATGCAGTTCTTGGCCGCGATCGCCTTCGTTTCTGTTATCATGCGTTCCGGTGCAAGTGACCCTCCACTGACGCTTGATTACTATGCATCTTCATGCCCGAGCGTGTTCGAAATCATCCGCGAAGAAATGCAATCCGAGGTGCTGTCGGATCCGCACAACGCTGCTTTAGTACTCCGACTACACTTCCATGACTGCTTCGTTCAGGTGCATTGCATACATCGTAATTTTATGTAAATTCTCATTCTCTCATAGTTAAACTGAACATGTGCTTGGGAATGAAACCATGTGTTGATAGTGACAATCATCATGAAGCATAGATCAAACTACAGAGGTAGAATTTATTCCATCTTTTGGTTGTGATGTTTCATTAGGGGTGCGACGGTTCAGTTCTGTTAGATGATACGGCCACGCTAAAAGGAGAGAAGACGGCTTCCCCAAATATAAACTCTCTACGAGGTTTTGACATCATCGATAGGATCAAGAGCAAGGTCGAATCCAACTGCCCCAGAATTGTCTCTTGCGCTGATATATTGACCGTTGCTGCTAGAGATGCTGTCATTCTGGTATAGATTGTCCCCTCGCTCTCTGAATTCCTCATTCACATGTCAAATAATGTTCTGAACTACAACCTCTGTATGTTATTACTTGCTAACCAAGGAGATATTTCAGAAAATTTCAATGTGATTAATATCGATTCTCTTTCGTACTTGTTAGGTGGGCGGACCATATTGGGATGTTCCGGTGGGGAGGAAGGACTCGAGAAGTGCAAGCTACGAGCTAGCAAACACCAACATACCTACACCGAATCAAGGTCTCATTTCCATCATTTCCAAGTTCCTTTACCTCGGCCTCTCCGTCACCGACACCGTCGCGCTTTCCGGTAATTACTAAGTTCCTATTCTTCTTAAGTGATCGATCAAATTACTCACCCAAGGTGAGCTTATTGTCACAGAAGAAAGCGCACTGATTAAGATGCGTATGTAGTAAATTGCATGAGATTCTCCTTAACTATGTGCACATGCAAATCGCCAGGGGCTCACACGATCGGCGTGGCACGCTGTGAGAACTTCCGAGCAAGAATATATGGGGACTACGAATTGACGTCGGGCCGTAGTCCATTATCTGAAGTGCACCTCAGCAAATTGAAGTCCACATGCCCAGCCGCAGGAGGGGGAGATAACAACATCTCGCCGTTGGACTATGAAACGCCCAACACATTCGACAACTCCTACTACCATTTGCTCCTGAATGGAGAGGGATTGCTCAACTCTGACCAGGAACTCTATTCAAGTGTATTGGCCATTCAGACCAAGAAGCTTGTGGAACAGTATGCATTTGACACGGCGGCTTTCTTTCAGCAGTTCTCCATTTCCATAGTAAAGATGGGAAACCTCACGAATCCGGATAGCTTTGTCGATGGAGAAGTGAGGAAGAATTGCAGATTCATCAATGCATGATCATTGAGTCGTGTGATATGAAGACTTGTCTGATTTCTTAATCTTTGTTGGTTATTTATATGGAGTCGGACATATGTGAACTTGAGCTAATTATGATAAGCAAATTCATTTGGAAGTCAGAACTATTCTTGTAATGGAGACGTGGATTTGTCTCCACACAGCCATTATTAATGGGGTCCCTGTACCCATATATTGTGTGTAATCATTTATGAAGTTAAGATTGACAAGTCGATCAAGTACGATGCATAGAACGATTTTAAATGTCACCTGGCGTTGAGCTGCAGAAAGGAGAAAAAATTGTACGACTACATTGAATAATACAGAGCCAAAATACTGAACGCTTGCACTTGTTTGGCCAACCAGAAAAGGCTAATGCATGCACTAGAAAACCATCAAGAGAGACGGAAATCACAAATATAACAGAGAGAGAGAGAGGCCACAACAAGCACTCACCCACCCACCTAAACACACAGTACAAACACCCAAGAAAAGCCTTAATACGCCTTGAGCTTACCCACATAAGGCTTTGTCACAGACCCAATCCAGAGTGTGCCTCCAAACTCGTCAACCTCACTGACTGACTCGAATGTCGTCCCAAATCCTCCATCCAGCACCTCCACAACTCTCCCTTCTTCACTAATTTTGGTTGCAACTGGGTCTTTGGTGAACCAAGGAATCTCATCACCATCTATATGACCCTGACCCTGCACTATTGAGCCCTGCTCAGGACCCTCCGTTTTGTGAAGGACCAGTCCTCTTCCACTGTTGAGGGCAACCCAGAACTCCCCCTTGTCATTCCTCATGATGTTGTCTGGGTACCTTGCGAGCTGAGAGTAGAAAACCTGTGCGGGAGTCACATGATGTCCTGTCTTGGAGGGTCTGAGAGGAATCCTAAGGAGCTGGAGGTTGCCAGTTTCAGCCACCACAAGGAAAGAGCTGTCCTTGCTTAGGGCTAGCCCGTTGGGGAAGGACAGTCCGCTGAGCAGGACCGTCACTCTCTTGGTGTGGGGATCATACTTGAGCACTCTCCCTGTTTTGTCTCCACTCTCAATGGACAACATGTAGTTCCTGATTACGATCATGTGCAACCCAGATGAGCCATCCACATGTGAAGGTTTGCAAAATAGGAACGTGGAGTTCAAACATCATAGCTTCCAAAGGTAGAGCTTTAACCATCATATGAAAAGCTCATTCATAGAAAAACATGAACGGGTGTAATTTACGCACATGTCGACATTGACGTATACTCAATTTTCTACGGCCGACGAGTGCAAGCAACGCTATATGTAGAAGCCACCCACGTGGGTTTCGAGTCAGTTCGTTACCAGAGCATTTCCCTAGTATGAGACGCGCTCATCTAGCCGAGGTTTCTCGTCGCGAAAAGGACCGTACACGTGTGTTCGTATACACACATACGCGACAAGCTGTACAAGTGATAGAACTAGCTATGCCTTTAATGAGGAGCATAGAGATTTCCCACCGAGGCAAAGCAATTATCAGAGAGCCCCCCCGCATGGGGCATCAGCCCGACAAGTTGCAACTCCAAATAGTAAAGAGATGTTGACAAATGAGGTTGCATTTAGAATGCAGGGCCAGTTTCTCTCGGTCGTTCATGTCAATGTCTCCCTGAAACAGATGGGCCGTTCTATGTCACCTACACATATCCTACCTCATGGCTAAATCGAAATCTTGCACTGTAAGATCTTAGAAACTAATCTTGTGATGTTGTCGTTCAAAATGATAGACCGATGTACTTAGTCTAGACAGTCGACAAAAGTTCGATTTCCTCGTATCATCTTCACTGGTCGTTTAAAGTCATGCGCAATCTACCCATTTAGGTTTTCTAACTCCGTCTCTAACGCAATCCATAAGATTATTTACAATAAATATTTCAGGGATTCTGAATTTAAATTCAGAAAATAGGAGCGGACACAAGAGGGCCTAATCAATGCTAGAACTTCAAAATTCACAGGAAGGAAAAGGTGAACAAAATGACGGGTGAGAATAAATTTCCGTACCTGATGTCAAAAAGAAAGGAAAAGAGAAAGGCAGAGAAATTAATATGACAAATATACCTTCTTTGGTAGAAGATGGTACTGTCCGTGAAATAAACAGCTCCCGTCCCAGCGTCGATGTCGAGTGCGTTGGTGAGGTTGAAAGGGACTCCTCCACCAGAAGTCGCGAGCTGCTCGGCGACGCCGCCGCGGGGTCCGACCTTGAGGAGGCCGTAATAGGCGTCTGCCACGTAGAGATCGCACGTCGCGTTGTTGAATTTGAGGCCCAGCGGCCTCCCGCATACCTGTTCCTTATTAGGGTCCTTCGAGCTGTCGCACAGTTTCCTGTCCCTGAGGATGAACGAGAGAAACTTGTTTCGGTTCACGATCAAGATGGTGACCATCATGCCTTCGAGATCGTCCATGATCTTAAACGAATGTCGCTTCCTTCGATTTTCCTTTGTCCTTCGAGCTTTCATGTGATGTGGGGGAGAAAATGCTATGATATGAAATATATATCAATTCAATTTTTTTCCTGAATTTTTAGAATGAAAGGTTTAATTTTAACTTACTAAAATATCCTCTAAATAAATATATATGTATATATAATATATATAATATATATAATAGATTAAAAATGGATCTCTAACACTTAGATCGAGCAAGTCATATAACCAAAATAAATATGTTTAGAAATAGAAGATAATTTCTCTCTCCTTGCACCCTAAAATTATGAGGTTCTTTCATCTAGAATTGCCAACTATTTCTCAGAAAAATAGAGAATTTCGTAACTCAGCCGCTTCCGGACATCCTGGACAATGACACCTCGGCTCGAATCGGACAGAGTGCCCTACCTTCTTGCATTGAAGCTGAAAAACTTCAGGACATGTCCATCACAACGTGCTTTAAATAGAGTATCTGAAAAACATAATAGTAGAAAGAAAAGAAGAAGTGTACCTACCCGCTTGGTAGCTGAATTTCTACGCCATATGAGACTTCGTCAACGTTATATGTGTGATAAGTAAAGAGTTATAATCCATGAATTTGGACTTTTTAGCAATAGTCCTCTTCATGATTGTGGGAAAATAGAACAGAAAATCGACATTATTACATGGAGTTAATCCGGTCCGACGTCAGAGAGGTTGATTTACTTAGCTTATGCCCAAGATCGAAGAAAGAAACGTTTAAGGACTAGGAATTGCGGTGAACTAGTAGTGCATGCAGTCAAAATTGTTTCAATTTGCATGCATATATCATCTCTCAAACTCTAATAATGAGTTCTTCCGATTTCCAACTCTTTTGGCCTTCATTGTTCCAACGCCTCACTGTCACTTGGCATTTAATGAATCATACATTCATTAAGTACAATCCCTCCATGCACAGAGGGTCTCTCTCTCTCTCTCTCTCTCTCTCTCTCTCTCTCTCTCTCTCTCTCTCTCTCTCTCTCTCTCTCTCTCTCTCTCTCTCAAGAATTTTACTTTTATTTGTGTTTTTTCCAAAGAAACAGTTCAACGACATATTCCATCGACTTTAAGCTCACGTAAAACACGAACCAAAATTCGGATGCATGTGTTGTGGAGAAGATGAAGCTCGTGAAAGGAAAGGAAGTTTCTAAAGTACCATGCCTGCATGCAAGAATGTTGTGCATGAAGCTAAATTAGGGTTTCCTCGCAGATGAAAGACATGCCTGTGCGCCGTAGGCACGGAAAACTCCCTCCACCCAAGGCGAGACCCTTCCCACTTGAGGATCCTCCCATCCGAGACGCCGACATATGGGCCTCGCCCTTCGCAGTCGAAGGCGATGCTCTCGGGCCGGTGACCTTCGGGAGGGCGAGCTGGGAGTACTTGTTCCCGAGTTGGCTCGTGGACAGCGTCTCGAACGGCGAAACCAAACTTGGGGAGGGAATGAACACGGACAAGAACCGGAAGGAGAAAGAGAGAGGACTGTGTTTAAGAAGTGGGTTCATGGTGTCTGGTCTCTCTGTGGTGAGGGCACACTATGCTGGGCAGAGGAAGGTGTCGTGTTGTGAAATGTGAAGTTGATATCTGTACATATAAAAAAAAATGTAGGAAATTTAAATCCTCTTCTCTGATCTCGCTCCCCCCATCTGCTTGGCCTCTAATACGAGCGAACTGCGCCATCTTAAATGATCACAGTTGACGGTGTTGAAGCTAGCCCTCTACTTGTGTGTTCTTTCCAGATTCAGAAAGATTAGATATTCCCCCTTTACTAGGCTTTTCTTTCTCTTTGTTTGGTTTTCACATTAAGAGCGAGAGATGAAGTCTTTCGAGAGAAGTAGACACCAAAGAGTCTGAAACCATCTACATATGACAAGCATATTTTAATGCCGAGAATTAATAAGCTGATTCACGAAGTTGGGGTTCACACACAACTATTTCTTTGCTCTCCTCAACCTTTTCTTTTCGTCTTTACTTTTCATCACATTCTTTTCTCTCTTCGCTTTGATATTATGGAGCAACTACACATGATTAGGAAATGGTTGGCCTGTTCTTTAAGCATAAATTACATAACTTACTTTTCTTTTCAAACGAAAGTAAACACTAGATTTTACGAATTAGGAAAACTTTTCTGAAATTAAATGATCTTAATGAATTGTCCGTACGTGCTTGTTTGAATGAATCGACTTGATTTTTAGCGGAATTTCAAGTACCAAAAAGTTGAAATAAACGTAAATAATTAGTATCACAAACAAAAGTCACTCCTAGCCATATATGTTGGCATGCATAGGAGAATATGTAGAAAAAGAAATATAGACTCGAGTGCGTCCATACGTAGCATATCGTTGGGGAAATCATGTTAGCAGCACATGTGAAATGTACTGGATCAAAGGTCTTGAATGCGTTACCTACATACCCTAATAATGTCTTGGATTGAAGCGAAAGCACGGCACAAAAGATATCATCTGTTAGTTTCAATTGGCACCATCCAAACACTTGAGAAAAAAGTGCCACTCTATCGATACGGGCCAGATGAAGCACGACATTCATAAATGCGATTGAAGGAAGAATCTGCGCTTATATAAATGCATCTACGCTTATATTTAAAGGATACATGCATACATACATATATTGAAGTATGTCATGATTGTAGATAAGTAAACAGAAAAATCATCCAAAAAGTCATAAATCTATTGTATGGCAATCAATTCAGTCTTAAACCTTTCAATTGTGCCAATTTTATTTTAAACCTTTTGACGATTTGCCAATTCAATCTTAAACTTTTT